GGGGGGGGGGGGGGGGGCGGGGGTCGTCAAGTGTCACTTTCAGCCCGCGCGTGGTAGTGTCCACAACGGGAGAAGGCTACATTGGTTCGGTGGATTGGCTTTCCCTAAACCCACAAACTACGGTAGGCTTCTCCTGGGTCAATACTTCACGCCCCCAAATGAACAAATAAGCGTGCCACCGTTCCTCCAAAGACACCAAAGCACGAACACAGCAGCGTGGCGCGGTGAAACTCTACCCATTCGCCTGACCTGGGCCGTTTGATCCTTCTATCGAGTTCGGTGAGGAGCCACGTATACGTGCAATTGACACCACCGTTCACGTCATTTCACCTTCCTCTGCCGGTAGGTGCTGGCTCTGCATGCTAGGCTGGTCGAGTGGCCTACTGCTGTACCAGTTGACGGGGCAAAACAAACCACAATTTAGATATTCACAACACAAAGTCTTCCATTCAGCTACAAATAAAATGTTATTGAAGTATTTTCGAACATTGCTGTGGTTAACAAATCTACGAAAAACATTTGTGAGCTGATGCTAACTTTTCTTGAACATCCCTCCGCCCCATGAACCCCTCAGGCACGTGGCTACCTGTACATCCTCAGCCAAGAAGGACGTACTCTGTTCACCTCGCTCAGCTGAGCATTGCCCCGGCGGCAAGCAGCAGAGATGGGGGGTTTGACAAGGAATAGTTCTCCCCACCCCCCACTCCCTGATGTCGCGCACATGTTGTTGCATCGGCGAAACAGCCTTCGTGGCGTCGGTAGCGGAAAAGCGCCGGTATCTACGCGGCGGGTCCCGGTGCGCTCGATGCTGGGCTCAGATCGTTTCTCGTTCTTCGGTTTCTTGCCTCTTGACTGGTAGATGGGATTGTTATTGTAGCACAGTTTTGGGTTCGAAGGCACAAGGTCTGGTTTCGACTCTCTGTTGGGTCTTGTTTTCGCGGCGTCAAGGACGTCGTGTGTTTCGTTACGACCAGGGGTCATGGACGCACGAGACACAAGAAAAGAGTGTTGGTTTCGCGAGCGGGTTCCGAGTATTGCAATCCACGAACGACAGGGCGAAGGCGGGAGCGCGCATGCAGCAGCGCATGCTGTGCGGCGGCAGTTTTGGTGGATAAAAAGGTAGCATAAGGCACTGACACCACCGCGAAAAGGAGCGATCGGGCGGACGGACAACAGCAGTCGCATCAGATTTATTTACGACCGCGGGGGGGGGGGGGGGGGGGGAGTTCCAATTCTGGGGGTGCC